TAGCGATTCTATAGATTCACTAGCGATTCTATAGATTCACTAGCGATTCTATAGATTCACTAGCGATTCTATAGATTCACTAGCGATTCTACAGATTCGCTAATTCTGTACTTTCTCCACAACATATATATAATTAACTCCTATTCTATCATTGTAACATTGTTTTTCAAATTTTGGAAAAATTGTTATAATTTTAGATTGTGGATCTATGAAATATTTCGTTTCTAACCACTGAGGATGATATGTTAACATATCAAAATGTTTAAAGATATTGATTAACAAATACGAAGGAAAAGATTCAAAGACTTTCAACTAAAGTTTCTTGAACAATTCAGACAAACAATCTAGATAAGATAAGATAAGACTTTATTTTTACTAAAGTGCAGGATATCACAAAAAAGAACAAAAGGCTTGTGGCACTCGTGGATACCCTGTACATACGGATAGCGTAGGAGTGGTGCTAAATAATCAAGATAGGAAAAAGGCGAATATTCCAGTTCGTCTAACAGCCATGTGGGCGCATAAAGGATTTTGACCACTCCAGCAATTGATGTCGGCAACCAGGATATGGCATGCCGAGCAACTGAATCGTCATTTTGAATCGTCTTTTCTCCCTGATAAAGACTGTTTCATTTATCGCTTTTTCCACAGAACACGTATTAGTAAAGATAAACTTAACAGAGATATCACTATGCAGGGTGCAAATATATTTGTTAACCAATCGAATATTCCCAGCGCTTCATTGTTGATATAACACTGCCTGATACATAACAGTTGACTGTAGTCAAAGTCATTCTTGTAGTCGGAATATATAAGCCTGTATCCACTCACATATCCACATGTGTTTTCGTCAATTTAACACAATCTCGAGCTCTCTACAATGTTTTGTTATAGAGAAATTTTGCAGCTACGTATAGTTCGGAATAGTTCTCTCAGTTCTCAATAAATAGTTCTCATAGTTCCTTATAGTTCTGAAAAATTCTGTCCATTCTAAATAATTCTGAATAGATCTCTGAACTTCTCTGAAGTTCTCTTCTTTATAGCTCTCATACTTCCGAATAGTTCTGAATTGTTCTGTATACTTCAGCACAGTACTCATAGTTCTCACTGAATAGTTCTCGTAGCTCTGTATTGTTCTAAATTGTTCTGTGTACTTCTCAAAGTTCTGAAAAGTTTCTGAACTGCTTTGAATACTTCGAATAGTTCTCATAGTTGTGAATACCGCTGAAAAGCTCTTTCTGAGTAGTCTGGAATAGTTATGAATTGTTCCGAATAACTTGCATAGTTCTATATGGTTTACATGGTTCTCATAGTTCCCAGTGCAGTGAATAGTTTTCATAGTTCGGATCATGTCGGAATGGGTCTTAATGGTTCTGATTGGTTCTGTATGGTTCCGTATATTTCCGTGTATTTTTCATAGTTGTGATAGTTCAATTAATACTCATCATAGTTCTGAATAGTTCTGTATAGTTCCCATAGTTCTTAATTAATAGTTCTCTGCGGTTCTGTGCCGTTCTCTTCGTCATAGTTCTGTATGGTTCTGAATTGTTCTGAATGATTCGCATATTTGTCATAGTTCTCGGTAAATAGTTGTGCATAGTTCTGAATAGTTCTCATAGTTCCCCATGAATGGTTCTTATAGTTCGGACTAGGTCGGAATAGTTCTGAATTGTTCTGAATGGTTTACATAGTTCTCAGTGGTCTCGATGAATAGTTCTCATTGTTCTGTGCGGTTCTGAATTGAGCAATAAGAACAGTTTCATATTTTATAAGAATGGACTATAAGGGTAGTGGCAATATGCTGCTTAGCAACGATTTCAGTCGGAAGAATGTCCACTATCTGATGTTTGACCGAAATTTGTCCTGTGCCCACGTACCTTATGCCCTGCCTCTACTGATAATGAGAAAGGCGTTCTTTTTACCATAAGTGTGGTTTGAAGTGTAGATAATTGAGTGAGAATAGAAACGATTAGAATCACTCTATAAGAGTAATTTAAAAAGTACCACTAAATGTCCCGCCGCCATTGTTTTCTTGTACCTTCATAACAGATTTCTTAAATGAATCTAATTTTTAGTATAAAGGTTTTAAAAATGGACGATGGTAAAAAGATTGAACTACCGAAATACATATTGCAATTATGCACAATCATTATCTTGTTTCCACATGAAAATACAGGTTTAATTAAGTCTTTAAGGTAAAATTAGTCCAACTGAAGCTAAAAGTTGGTTTATTGTTTCTGATTTATTGATTTGTCACAAACATTTGCCCTTTATGGATTCGGAACCATCGTCAACCCTTTATATATTATTTGTAGCACACAGAGGCAAATATAAATTGTCTGTTTTGGGACTTTTGTTTCGAAAATAAACAAGTAAATATGAACAAAAAGCGTTTTTCAAAAGTTCACTGTTGGATTGCGGTAAGTGATTTGATGCTGAACGTTTATGTATTTTTCGCTTATGTTCTAAAATTGTGTTTAGGGAAATAACAGAAGTAGATAACGATATTTCAAATTCATCATCAGAGCGTTAAATGAGTGGCTCAGTTCAGCCCTATTATCAACCCTAAATCTGTTCAAACCACTAATGTTTGCAACCATCTTAATTCATGCACGTTTTCTTTAAAGCATTGATAATCTTTTCTTCGTAAAGCTATTGGTTACTCATTCTCTAGGATGTGTTGTGTTTGCAACATCGTGATTTCTGATGCAACAATCACCGTTAGTAAAGAGGATCGTTTCTACTCATTCTTCACAAAGAACGGCTATGTACCTAGTGGTGCACGTTGTTGTCCACATCATCTGCGAAATCACCGTTTAACACTTGAAGCCATGGATGAACTAAGCCCTCATGGTATTAAAACAATTTCCTTGTCCCGTGATGATATTCTCGCATTGTTCCCAAAAGGCACGGTGTAATGATAAATGTTTTAATGTTGACGACATGCAGAATTTAACGGATGAATGTCATTACAATTTGACTGGCTTACGTAAACAACAGTTTGATCTTTATCTCTTCGTTTAAATGACAAGCCGACGTACGTAGACACTTAAGTGATGTACTGAACAGTAGTTACACTATAAAAACGATTCAATGCACTACAACACCGCGTTTAGTTACTTGTCATGTACTTAGCACACACTGAAAGTAAATTTATCCACTTTGTATGCATAGTGTATGCACTAGGTGCCACTGACTACTAGCTAGTGTAGCATACGCTATTTATGCACTGCGCATAAATAACGCATAAATATGTCATTCATAGACCATTTACTTGTCATTTACATAAATATGCATGATAAGTAAATTGTCTACGAATGACATGACGCATGCGTAGTGCATGTCAGACTAACCAGTAGCGAATGGCATCTAGTGCATACACTGTGCATAAAAAGTGGATAAATTCACTTTGAGTGAATGCGAAGTAAATAAACACGAGATTTTAGTGCATAGAGTTTCATCTGCAGTGCACTCGAGAGTGCTGTGTACATGATTTAAGCTCAAATCTCTTCCAAAGTCAAATGATCATTTTAGCAACTAATAGTACTAATATCTACGTGCAAAAAAAAGCCGAAAATGATACAGCACTATTTCAAGAATACGCTGGTATTTTTTTCTCAAACAATATAGTATTTGAAAGTTTTATCACGGAGCCTGAATTAATAATTGAAGTCAACAAGTATAAAAGAAAACTCGGTTTTGAGACTTTATTTAAAAGTTAGTAATTCACCTTAAGTCAGTCTCATCAACTAAGAAAAGCAGTGGATAATGAATGAAAGTATTGCTATTTTACATAACAGAATATCGTTGGATAAATGTTAACAAAAGAAAGAGCAAATTATAGGAATATATATTAGTGGCTACATTAGACGGCGAGGAAAAGCAATCAAGCAAATGCAGTGTAACATCGGACATGAATTGTTGGACGAGTTGTCCCTCGTATTCATTAGCGTCTCTATCGGCATTTGTTAGTAGAATTGTGCCAATGTTGGTCGTTGGATCAATGAGCATCGATGTAAGCGTTCCTAGTGCACTACCCCGATGACCGAACACTGTTCGATTTTTATGAAATATCGATGAGCTGATATTTGCATAATTCCATAAAAGACCAACTGATATGGGAGCCACTAGATTCTGATATTGAATTGTTCGAATGACTTCTACTGAATGAGAATCAAGAATTTTAACCCCTGACAAAGACGTACCATCGTTCAAGAACATTTGTAAATATTTTGCAAGTGATGTGGAAGACATTCTAAGAAGACCTGCTGGCCACTCACGAAAGCTGAAGAAGCCAATTTGAAGCCAGTACGTATTGGGGATTTCTTGAACGTGTAGTTGAGGTAGATACAATTCCCATGATGCTAGAGAACTGTTGTAAGCGTAGTGGTGAACGAGATTTTTACGTTGATCACCGAGAGCAAAACGCGCGTCATACACATCCAATGGGTGAAAAATATTCTCTCTGACGTAATCATCGTATGATGTATTGACAATTACTTCAATGATCAAAGCAGCCAAGGACGTTGCCATGTTTGAATAGTGGAACTGGGTACCTATCGTTTTGTTTATCCAATTGATTGGATGGTAGAGAGATCCACCAGGTACCAGATAATCTGAAACTAGTTCACGAATTGTTCTATTCAAATAATTATCTTCAGGCAAATAAAATCCAAACACCATTTCTTCATTGGTATTGATGCTCGATGTGTGAGTTAACAAGTGTCTCATAGTGATCTTATCCATCGGATAGAGCGGATGATGAATTTCGGTTACATTGGCTCTTGCCAAATACGTATTAATATCTTTGTCAAGATCTAGTTGATTTCGTTCAACCAATCGCATGGCTGCCACGGCTATCACCGTTTTTGAAATAGATGCTAGTAAAAAAATTGAGCTATTTGTAATAGGGTTACGTGTCTCAATTTCTTCATAGCCAAATGAGTGTTGATACAAAAACGCTGATTTGTCCAGAACAACAGCAGATAGACCGGCTATGTGAGCTCGTTCCATTTCATTTTGAATAAACTTGGTAGTATTAGAGCAGGAAGCATCCACATAACTTCCAATGAATAAAAGTACAAGACCGATTAATGACATTATCTTTATGTGCGACTCAGAAATAGAACAAATTTTTTTGTCTTTTCGTTTTTTGAAAAGATTAACTTTTTCTATCTTTATCATTTAGTCAATATTATTAATGTCATGCTAGGTAAATAGAAAGAATACTTGAAGAAATCATTAGACAGAGCTAACTTTAATTATTCAGAATAAACTATGAAGTGTTCTGCTCTTCTAAAGTTTCTACATTCTTTTAAAAAACGATAATTTTTCTTCTATTTTTAGTTATTCAGGTCCATCGAAACTTGTAAATAAAGAACACTGGACGGTGCTTGTAAGAAAATGGCCCTATAGATTTTTGAGAAGATAACGACTGGAACTGATTAGAAACCGTTCCTCTGCGCCTTCAAAGTTAATTGTAGAGTACCACATGATGGAATTTTAATCATTTCTGTGCATCGGTCTAAAAAGCCTCTTCGATCGTATTTATTCATTTTTCTCTGCAATTTCGACGTTCTTAAGAGAATCTTATACATGAAAACATGCGTAATTAAACTGGCTTTATGATGACACACACATAGCACATCTTTTCAAACTAATGTCTTCATAGTAGATGTATTGGACAAATACCTGATAGGCATCTCGATTTTATCCGTAGTGGCAGACAAAAATGATTATAGTTTCTCCGAGCCCTAAGGTCTTATCTTTCTTATTTTCCCGTGAGTTGTGATGGTATGGAGCTTTCGAAATTGAATGCTGTTGCACGTATAAACCATTTGGGTTTGAATGTGCTGACAAAAGTATAATCATTTTTGTCTGCCACTACGAGTAAACTCCAGATGCCTATTATCTGTTTGTCCAATACATCTATGA